GCTTGACAGTGTTTCCAAATCAATTAGATTTTGCCATGATTAGTTGCGAAAAAACCGTGCACTGATCATTAATAATTTGGAGAGTGTTCCCGGCAAGAGAAAATAGTCATAAAAAACGGTAGGGGTTCCAGATATTTTTTTTACAAACAGTGTTGTAACTTTTGAAATATTTGACCAAAAGTTTTGATTTTGGTCTCAATCGATAGATATTGAGCTGGTCTTTCAAATGAAACCAAGATCAAGCATCTAGCTATCTTGGTTTTGGAGTTATAGAACCAGTCTCGGTACTTTTTGGACAGCCTATGTAAATTTCATATTATTTTAGGATATAAATCGCTTTATTTCAATGAGTGATGTTGCAAAATCTTAGTAATATTGCAATGCTTGGTTCCTTTTCGCAAAATGCAATCCAATTTTTTTATGATCGAAAACTTTGATTCCCCTGTATCCATCGCATATCTATCATTTATCCTGATCTTATCAGTTTTGACGAATGATTTTGTCTGGGAGTGACCTAAAAAGGTATTGCCCCAACTAAAAATGAAAGAAATTCAAAATTTGAGCTACGCCAACGTGGCAGCAATGGGTGAAATTTTCATAATGGACCAATTTTGTCATCATCGTGTTAAAGTTGGTGATTTTCTCTCAATTTTGACACCAAGATCATCTCTTTACGAAAAGCCGTTCACCGTTCACGTGTTATGCTAGTTTGAAGTTTTAACTTTGCCCCCCCCCTTCCCCTCTATCCGGAGGTGTTTGAATACAAAAATCGTCAGTGTTTTGGACTTGAGAGGTGACGATCCTCTATCGACCCTATAAGTATTTCGTAGAACAGGGGGAGATTGGAAATGACCACTTTAGAATAAGACCGTTTTATCACCCGTTCTCCTTCATTTTACTGAAAGACTCCTGCATAAAATTTCCCTGCAATTCGGCGGGAAGTTAATGTTGTAATATCATAGACAGATTTTTAATTTCACCTTTGCTTCGCATTAAAAATATATCCGGAAAAATTGATGTTAGTTAGAAATACCTAGTGATTGTCAGTAAAAGGGAGTAACAGTTAGCAAATTGGAGTAGAAATATAGTTTCATTTAGTCCAGTAGGTCAACTTTTCACCCACTTCTCCTCACAAAATGGCGCTGTTGGGTGAATGTTTCCATTTAACCCATAGTTTTTCTCACTTGTCAGCAATGCGCAGTAGCAAACTTGGAATCGATGTCTGTCGGTGGCGAGGTTTCAAAATGTTCAGTCTTACTTAATTTTTTCCCTCGGATGGAAAAAAAGTATCTTGGATCCAAAATCCAGATTCAAGATTTGACAAGAAAAATACTTTTGATTCAATCGGATTTTTCCTTGAGTCGAGCCTAGCCTCTTAATTCAAGCGGATTTCCTTTTTGTCCAAGCAAAAATCCGATTGATTCGAGAGTATTTTTTAAGAGCCTGGACTCGGAATCCAAGAGACTTTTTTTCCAGTGCAGGTAAACGAGTTACCATCATCGTTTGCGCTTTTCACAGATATTTCCTTAAATAAAAAAATTACGTCGAATTGTGTTTTAATTGAAAATTATCGGAAAGGCTGTGAAGTCGCTAACTAAGTGACGAATCCTTTTCCTAAATTCAAATAATGAATCATGAGAGATTTCAGAAAGGTAGGAAAAAGCTTATTTTCTTGTTCGGGAACGAAAAGTTTAAAAACAATCGCATTTTTCAGAACTTTCTGGGGACTGTTTTTTTTCTCCCTCTATTTTTTTTTGGTGTCCTTGAGAAAAGGTGAGGAACTTATTTTCGAGTGAAGTCCTTTTCGAGTCTTCTGAAATGGAATTTAACATAGGGCTGTTCTATCGGTTGTCGGTAAGCTACCGAAACAGTTCCGTTAAGAAACAATTACGATAAGAGCGCTCTTGCCGATAGCGATCAGAGTTTTCGGAGCTGGCGAAAATAAGATGTTGCCATTTGTACATCTATTTTACGCGCCGCCGCGCCAGGCAATCTGATAAACCTACACACAGGGCAACAATGCATTAAGTGCGAGCTCTCAAAACTCCGATAAGGCCGGCTGTTGTCGATATCATCGCCACTGTCGGTACTGCCGCCAGTTTCAATAAGAGACGATGTCGATAGTGTTCCGGCAAGAATTCGCTTGAACACCCCTAATTTAACAACTAGAACAAATATTAACAACTCAAAACAGATAAAATGGTATTAAAAAATGATATGCAGGTCCCCCACTCAAAAAGCTTACACCTCTGCGATCCCATGACAAAGTTTTTACTCCTCGTAGATCGGAAATGAGACAAAAATTCACGGATTACAATAATTACAAAATTAGCCGTTAAAAATAAATTTCCCAAATATTTTATAGTTACTGTCAGAATAAGTAGACGGTTTCCAAATCGTAAAACATGAAACGCAGATGGACCCAAAGCTGTCGGTCGTGCATAACAAAGGAGTACAAATGAGTTTTCTTCTTTTTCTTCTTCTGAACAAACGCCAGGAATTTTATGGTTAATCCCAATGCAATTGATAGCGCCGAGTTCGATTGTGACCATAGTTTCTCTCCAACATTTTGAGGAAAACAAAGGGTTTCCTTAAAAACTATGTTTCGAGGAGCTAGGCCCTAAGGCCGATCTGCCACTGGCAGATACGCTCCCACGGCGCGTCGAGTATGCGCCCCTGTGACGGATAGCAAAATAACAGGAGAAAAAAAATTATGACCAAAGCTAAAATCGTGTCAAATTTCAAAAATAAGAGATATCTAAACGCGATACAACTATCCGTGCTAGAAGGATGTCCATATTGCACATGAAAAATTTAAGGCGCTATGGCGTGAGTCGTCAGGCGTGAATTCGCAATGTTCTGCTCTATGCTGTTAGTCAGATCCGGGAAAAAAGTTAAATTAGGTTGGACTACGTTTTTCCTAACCTCGGCTGTGTTGCTCACGTAGCTCTTGAAGCACCACTACAAAAGAGACAAACGAAACCATAACTTACTATGGAAATAGTGCAAGGGAAAGGATGTGCGTTGACGACGGCGCGGCGTAGAGATACGAATATTCGTGCTTGATTGATATCCGTATTGCATCAGCAAAATTGAAGGCGCAATGGCCCGAGGCGTGAATTCGCAATGGCCTGAGGCGTGAACTCGCAATGTTCTGCTATATCGACGGTGAAACTACCAAACCACGTATCTCGGTTTGCGACGTCGCAGACTTCCTGCCATACTTTATTTCTTAAATGAATAACTACTGAACGTCCAGTTTTGAAAATTTCTGTGATTTTTCCTCTTCAAGCGGAGAAAATTCTGTGAAAATTTCAAGGAATGATATTGATTTGGTCTACTTTAAAAAAATAAAATGTGAGCATAGATTTTTAAACGCCGCAACCGAGATACGTGGTTTGGTAGTTTCACCGTCGATATGCTGCCAGTGAGGTGTTGCTCAGATTCGGGAGAAAAGTTAAAAAAGAGGCCCGAATAGGTCTTCCCTGTCTTCTGCTGACTTGATACTCGATTTTTTTTCAGGTCCATGTCCGATTCTTTTTTGAGATTTGCAAAACCAAAATCTAAAGCTCGCATGAACCGGCCCCATACAATCGGACGGGCAGGTTTTGTTAGGAAGCCTCGGGTCGACTTGACGCGGCTTCAGCATTTAAGGATTTATGTAAATATCATTAAAATGACTGCACCTTCCTCGCAAAAAGTCAGGATTCAGCATGGGATCCAAAAGAGGCCATTCAGTCTGTGAATTTCAATAAAATGTGGTTATGCAATCTCACAAACTTAGGCTCCAATTGTTCGGTCACGTCTGAAAATATTCTCATTTCCAACAAAATGATTGCTGAATGAGACTTCCTGCTATAGACCTCTGATGCATTCAATTGATTTGTTCCTATCTCTTTTTTTACTTGCCTTACTGAACACATTGTTCTTAGCCAGACTCAACGCTCTTTTTCCCCCTCTTTCTCCTTCAAAATTTTACATTATACTCACTAGATTGCATGTTTCCTTTTCCGATCGAGGAGGCTATAAAAAGATCTTTCCAGCTGACATGTTTCTTAGGTTCATAATTTTTAGACCTCTAGACATTAAAAAGCAGTATTTTAATTCGCCACCTCTGCCTCGGTTTCTCTAGAAATAACGGTGCTTGGATGCTGCTAGTAGCTGTGATTTGTTCTCTCTTTTTTTTCATTTCACAAGTCTATCCGTTAGTTTAACACGTTCAATTTTCAAATTTTTTCTCTGTGCTATCGATCAATTTTGATCCTGAAAATAGCCTAAAATTGTGATGATTTGCCAAACTTTTCTGGGCCCCCCTCCACGTAGGGCGTGGATCCCCCGGGAAATATCATACTATATGTTGTAATAGTGAAATATAGTATCAGTTCAGTCAGGTTGCCAATCACTGTAATGCCACACCTGAAAGGATAGTGCGCATGCGCAAGGTGAAGGTTATCGAATTTAGGTAATCTACCTGTGATCTGTTATCCATCATCAGCTGTAGCCGGAATGGCGTGTTCGTGAGTAACGATGAATAAATCTATAATTCCGTAAAGTGCGTTGATTCATTTTCATCTTATCGAACATAACATGGTGCCGAAACCCGATGGTTTTCCGCGATCGCTAAAGTAAGTACGGTTACGGAAAAATCGCAAGCCGCGAGTGCAACTGCCATGTGCCAGTGACGACCATCGAAGCCTAAGATTGTGCCATCAATCAAATCCTGCAAAGTTTCAAGAATCGTGTGCCAACATAAAGCAAGAGCAATGCCAAATACAAGTGCAAATGGTGAGACCGGTGGAGGAGCAACATCCCATGGGTCAACCAAAGCGATAGGTATCTGCCAAGATAAAGCAGCTGGAGATTGTGGCCGGAGCGAACATGGATGAACGCTGGGAGGTTTGGAAGGCTAAATTTGAAATCTTCATGTGTGCAACGACAGGAGAGTCAGACACAAGAAGAAATTGTTTGCTATTACAATTTCTTGGGGATGATGCATACAGCATATATGCATCGTTCAATAAGAAGTATGACGAACTCACACATAAGCAACTCATAGAACTGTTTGATGCACACTTCAAGCCAGAAAAGAATGTGGAAATGGCTTTATACAAATTAATAACCAGAAAACAGAAAGAAGATGAGACATTGGACGAGTTTGTTACTAATTTGAAGAATTTAAGCCTGGCCTGTAACCTAGACAATCAAAGGGATAAAATTGTCGAAGCGATTATGATTGCAAATTTGCTGCCGAAGTTTGAAGAGGTGAGAATTCCAGTATTAATGAAGCAGGATGAGACGTTGGAGAATGCCATCAAAACCATCAAAACGTTTGATGCATCAAGGCGTCAAGTGCAAGAAATGGATGGCAATGAACCTGCTGTTGGAAAGATCAACAGACGTTATCAAGACAATGGAAGGCAAAGTGCAGAGCAGCGCAGTCATCGAAGAACTACCAACAGTGCAAAGCAGTATGCAAGTGGTCCGAAGCACAAGGGACAATCAAATTGGCGGTACGGTTCTTCTAAGGTGCAAGCCGATGACTCGAGAAGGACGGGAAACTACAGTAGGTGCAAAAACTGTGGAGATACCAATCATTATTCTGGAAGGTGCCCTGCCATTGGGAGAAAATGTGACAATTGTAATGGGTCAAATCATTTCTCAAGAGTTTGCAAGAATGCTGAGCGAAAAGTGAGACTGGTGGATGAGGAGTCGATTGATAGCGACGATTACTATTCGGAAGATGAAGGTCCTGAGCTATTCATTGGTGCGATCGAATCCAAGCAGGAGGACGATCAGTGGTATGTAACTCTGAATGTCAATGACTACTATACAAATTTTTTAGTCGATACAGGTGCCCAAGCGAATGTAATCCCTGCTAATTTAAGTAAAAGAATAATAGGCAAAAGACCCATTCTTAAAACTAATGTCAAATTAACTTCAGTTACTGGAGAAAAAATGCAAGTCGTTGGTGAGTGCAATCTCAAATGTGTTAATGAGCAAGCGGGCGAAGCCCATGTAATTAAATTTATTGTGGCGGATATTAATACACCCCCAATATTAGGTTATAAAACTTGTAAGCAATTAGGTGTACTGCAACAAATTAATGTAATTGCGGATGAATATAAACCAATAGTTCATCAATTTGAAGTGTTTAAAGGAATAGATCGCATAAAAAATTGCAAGTGTAAAATTAAAATAAATGATAATGCGAAACCGACAGCTGAGCCGCCGAGAAAAATTCCTCATAAATTGCGTAGGAGAGTTTGGAAAGAACTACAAAGGATGATGCAATTAGGAGTAATTGAAAGAGTAACGGAGCCTACCGAGTGGGTAAATCCAATTGCAACTGTGTCAAAACCGAATGGAGAAGTAAGAATCTGCTTAGATCCTCATGCCTTAAATAAAGAAATTATAACGCCAAAACATTATATTCCAACATTAGAAGATGTTAAAGCAAAATTAAAAAATTCAACTGTATTCACAACGTTGGATGCCAAATCAGCCTTTTGGGCCCTAGAATTAGACGAAGAAAGCTCTAAACTAACAACCTTTGCCACTCCATTTGGGAGATTTAAATTTTTGAGACTTGCCTTTGGTCTTACTTGTGCAAGTGAAATGTTCCAAAGCAAAATGTATGAATTATTTGGAGATTTTCCGAACCTGATTATTTATATTGATGATTTTTTGATTTATGGTGATAAGAAGACACATGATGAGACCCTCAAAAGAGTACTTAAGAGAGCAAAGGAGCTAGGTCTTAAATTTAATTAGAAAAAATGTAAATTTGCAAAACCCAGTTTAGATTTTTTAGGACATGTTTGGTCAAAAGATGGCGTCAAAGTCGATCCCAAAAGAATTGAAGCAATCCAAAACTTTAAACCTCCAAAAACACTAAAACAGCTGCAACGGTTTTTAGGGATGATAAATTATATTAACAGATTTGATAAAAATCTTCAATTAGAAATCCCAAATTTGCGTAAATTGCTCAAGAAAACAGTTCATTTTAAGTGGGGAAAAAATACATCAGGAAGAATTTGATAAAGTTAAAGATTTAATAACAAAAGCTCCGGTGCTAGCGTACTATGGTGTCAATTTACCGATCACGCTCAATGTTGATGCCTCAAAAGACGCTGTAGGGGCAGTAATAATGCAAAATAACCTTCCAATCGCATATGCATCTTCAACACTAACACAAGCTCAAAGTGAAGCAGGACAAATTGAAAAAGAATGCTTAAGTATTTCATTTGGTTGTACTAAATTTCATGACTATTTGTTTATGTCGAAAGTTACTCTAGAAACAGACCATAAGCCATTAATTCATTGTTTAAAAAAGAAATTATTAATGTCCCATAACTCTACAAAGAATTCGGCTAAAATTGTTGCGCTATAACATTCAAGTAAAACATGTACCTGGAAAACACACGTATATATCAGACACCCTTTCAAGAGCTCCAATCAATAGAGCTGAAATTATGGAAGAAATTGAGCGTGAAACTAATTTACACATATGTTTAATAACTAAAAATCTTGCTATATCAAAGGAAAAACTAGATGAGATAAGATCAATGTATAATATTGACTCAATTTTATTGCAGGTAATTGATTTCTGTAGATCAGAGTGGCCAGATAAAGTGGAAGGTGAGCTAAAGCACTATTTTCACTGTAGAGATGAACTGCCATACCATAATGGTATTCTCTATAAAAACTTAGCAGCAGTAATTCCGTCTGAATTAACAGAAAAAATGCTAGGAATTGTGCATGAAGGTCACTTTGGTATACAGCGATCACTGAATCAAGCCCGAGGTCTAATTTTCTGGCCGAACATGTCAAAAAAAAATTGAAGAAAAAGTACAAAATTGTAATGTCTGTAATATGTTTCAGAACAACAATAAACGAGAAAGCCTGCTTCCCCACGAAATTGCAGATTATCTTTATAAAAAAGTAGGCATGGATTATATGGATTTCAACAAAGATCTGTACATAGTGATAGTGGATTACTATTCTCAATCTCCAGAAATCGCTAAAATCAGTAGTACCAAAGCCAGTAGCCTCATAACACGGGTTAAATCCATATTTGCTAGGAACGGAATTCCTGAAATTATTTTTTTCTGACAGTGGGCCTCCATTTAATTCTGACGAATGTATTAAATTTTGTAATCTATGGTCAATAAAATCTGAAACTTCCAGCTCTCAGTATGCTCAATCCAATGGTTTAGTGGAAAGAAGAATTCAAACCTTAATGAAAATGTTAAAAAACAGTGTAGAATCAAAGCAAGATCCTCACATAGCTTTGTTAAATTTTAGAAATTCAGCTAAAGGCAAAATGCCCTCCCCTGTGAAACTGTTAATGTCGCGTAATTTAAGAACAAGAATGTATGTAGATAAATCTATGCTAAAACCACAAGCAGTCCCATACAAGACATTTCATAGCTTGAAAACTGAACAGGTGGAGCAAATGAAAAAATATCACAAGGGTCATGGAGAATTATCAGAATTCCAAGCAGAAGACCCATTATTCTTTAAAAAATTATGGAAAGGTGCTTGGGAACCTGGCAAAATTGTTAAAAAATGTAAACAACCCCGCTCTTATGTAATAGAAAGTAAAAATAGAAAGCAATACAGGAGAAATAGATTATTTATCAAACCTAAAAAAGACTGTCAGAATGAAAATAATCTAAATAGTGGTTATAATATCTTGAAAAAACCTCAAACAGAGGACAATAAGGATAGCTGCATCGTAGTGGAAACCTCCAAATTATCTTAAGGATTATGTAACTAACAAAATAAAATGCTTCATAAATTTAATTTAAATTAAAGTTATAAATTTAATTTTAATTAATTTTTAACTTTTAATCAGTTAATAAATACTAGTGAGATAAGTTGATTATAGTAAAGACAAAGATAATTAGTTTAATCATTTTATCAGTGTAATTGATATACTTTTATTTAGTTATTTGTTAGTTATCTGTAAGTGAAGAAATTAGAAACAAATTGTATGTTTAAACTGTGTTAAGAGTTGTTATAATAGTGAAATATAGTTTTAGTGCAGTCAGGTTGGCAATCACTGTAATGCCACACCTGAAAGGATAGTGCGCATGCGCAAGGTGAAGGTTATCCAATTTAGGTTATCTATCTGTGATCTGTTATCCATCATCAGCTGCAGCCGGAATGGCGTGTTCGTGAGTAACGATGAATAAATCTATAATTCCGTAAAGTGCGTTGAATCATTTTCATCTTATCGAACATAACACTATACTCTCTTAACCGGCCAAGGGTCTACGCTCTTATGTGTGAGCCAGTCCGTCCGTGCAAGGAACGTTTAATTTTACGAGGGAACTGGTGTCTGATAGAGATGAATAAGGTCATTTTCGGATCTAGTAACTAAAAATACAAAAGAATACATGTATTGTGTATATAACGAATGTTTCTCGCTTTGTCAAATAAGAATGTTTTTCCGGTCAAATGGCTAAATCAACCGAATAAGGAGTTTTTTTTTTTTTTTTTTTTTTCAATCTCGATCTTTCGGAAAATAAGTGGGTTGTAGAAAAAAAAATGGTCGATTCGGGGCCAGCAGCAAAAAATAAGTTATAATAGCCCAATTAACTATCTGAATAAAATGATTTTCTGTCCTTCCGCACTCAAAACAACGGGTCCGTTTTATATCGGATTCGTGAGCGGATGATGCCATTTTGACCGGAAAACCTCGTTTTCAGAAAAAGGGTGGCATATTTTTTAGACATGCGGTATGCGATACATGTCTGGCCAAGTATCTTTAGCTCCTAAATTCAAGACACTGGCTTATCTCAATCATGCATTTATTTCCAGAAAACAAATTTTTCAGGGAAAATCCATTTTTAAATAATCCCAATTCGCCTGGAAAATGGTGGAGACGGGAAAAACCAAGGTCATACGTGGACCTAGGGCTGTATATTACACGAGAATCCGCTATTAAAGCACTAACTTTTTTTTCGGTACATACTTGTGTAGTCTTCCATATTCAACAGCGGACCAGTTTTGCGTCATTTTTAAACTTCCTGCGTGAAAAAGTGTATCCTGAGTTAAGGAATTCTTTGGAACAAGGGCGTATGCTCGAAAAAGTAGTTCCGCAGAAACCGCTTATGAAAGTTCAAAAGTGTATAGCGCTGGTTCTAGTCAATATCTTCTCACGAAATTTAATTAATTTAAAAGAATAAGTCTTTGAGAGTATACTTGAAAAAACGGAACATTGTGACTACATTCCCCTATGATTCCTACATGATAACGTGGACCGCCGTGTAAAAAAAAAGGGGAGGGGGACTTTTTAGTACACTATGTATATTCCCTGAAACTAGGAAGAATCCAGTTTCAGTAAACGCGATCTCCCGAAAAAGGGCGGATGCGCGCATACGCCTTTGTCCCAAAGAACTCCATGTAACCTGCCGGCATGGCGGTGTCTAGAAGAAAAAAATCAGTTGCACCTCATGAAATTTTAGCTCTATTTTCGAGTAACCGCGATGTTGCGCTGTCTATTATAGTTTGCACCTATAGATGCTTGTCGGAGGGATATTTTCTTGAAAAAGTAGCAGATTTGTCAATTGTTCATGTGCCTCCGTTTTCCTCGTTGGCATGTGATGAGATAGGTCCAGTCAGCACCCGAAATCTCCGAACCGCGCCACGCTGCGCTGCGCTTCGTCACACAGTTTACATTTGATTTGGAGCGCCCTATGCGCAAAACTAAATTCGTCGATATGTGACTGCAGCCAACCATGTTCACATATCGACGGTGTAAGTCGGCAATCACATAACTCGGAAAACGCGATTTTTCAGGAGAGGGGAAAAAACTCTCTACATTCCTTATCTTTGAAGGTAGAGGGGAAATCATTCTTAGAGACAGCAAGGATAAGATGCTTTATAAGACTCCATTATCATTTTGAATAATATTCTCGTCTGTCAGGAGAAATGACCGAAAAACCGAGTCATGTATTTGTGGAACTAAGGTCCAACACTGAATTCTGAGATTCGTGGTTGGTGAAATACTGATTCAAACCTATTTTTTACCGATGTTGACTGAAGACTGAATAAGACTCCTCTTACTTTAAAAGTAGCCTAAAGTTCCTTTTAACAAACTTTAATTGGTAGCGAATCTTTAGAATGACACCGGAAAACAATTCGATGGTGTAAGTCATGTGTAAGCAATCACATGTAAGTGTAGGCAATCACATAACTCGGTTTACAACGTCGCAGACTTCCTGTCATACTTCATTTTTTAGACGGAAAACTATTCAACTGCAATTCTTTAAAACTGCCGTGAGTTTTCTTCTCTATGCGAAGAAAATCCTGTATAAAATGCAAGGAATGATGTCAAATGAGTCGAGGTTCTCCTTTATAAAAAATAACGTAGAGGCGGAGATTTTCAGACACTGTGAGCGAGATAATTATGTGATTGCGGACTTACGCCGTCGAATTACGAATTAAAATGAAATGGAGATAAAAATAAGCGGACGGTTACTCGGTTATCCGTCGGATTAGATGTTAGATGTTAAAACAATAACAATGTTTTCGTTGTTTGAAGATCCCTTGACGTACTAACTTTTAATTTTCTCTCCTTAACTGTTCACGATTTTTCCCGGGAGAGCGCGCGTTGTGTAAAAATGCGGCGCGACGGCACGAGTTATGTGTTGTTGGAATTAACGCCGAGATATGTGTTTTGAGTTCTACGTTTTTAGGTGACTTTCAGATTTTTTTCGACTGAAATATTTTGATAGCAGGTGAAGGGCATCTACTGCACTTCATTTCTGCAGCTTACTCAAAACCGCCAAAAATCGAGTTATGTGATTGCCGACTTACACCGTCGATATTGGCCCGTGGCATTTTCCCTGAAGTTCTATGATGATCCACGAGACACCACATGTCATTCCCCTGGGAGCGCATGTAATCACATTTCATTCCGGCGAGAGCGCACGTGATCACATTTCATTCCAATGAGAAATTTTTAGCAGGGTAAGCTTTGTTATTCCTCTCATGGTAGCACTGTCAGTGCCACCACGAGAGTCGCATCATGCCGCAATCAGACGCTGAATTTAGCAGCTGAATGTGGAAGTCAACAGTCATCACCCAACGACTGAAATTTAGCATATTCGAGTTATTTTCATCCAGATAGGTATCAAATCTACTCGAATAGTAGACCGTGGGCCAGCAAGGGGTAACCCTCCCCCCCCCCCCCCCCCCCCCCCCCCCCCCCCCCCCCCCCCCCCCCCCCCCCCCCCCCCCCCCCCCCCCCCCCCCCNACCCCCCAAAATTGCTCAGAATTCCGACTTCTCCGCGAATTTTCCCACTTTTACCGGAAAAGGCTTGATTTTAGGGCAAAACTCCACATAACCATTCTGAAAAATCGTGAAATTCTGGTCTAGAAAAGTCTTCAGTGACTTTCACCAGGATCAGCGGTTCCCCAAAATGGGGCGGCTTAAAATGTCAAAATATCTCAATTTTCCGCGAAAATGACCGTTTCGCCGCGATTTCTCGCCAATAACGCGAAGAAGGTTGGTATTATCGTAAAACCGTTTACCCCTATAATAACAGAGCATTAATTTTTCATTCTAAGGGCGGCCTAACCCCTCGTGGGGGGGAGGGGGGCCCCCAGCAGTACCCACCCTATAAAAACCGTCAAGATTGGCCGCTTCCTTGAAGTAGCGTTATGCGCAAAAATGGGCGGCAAAATGAAAACAAGTAGCGTTTGTTCTG